GCTGTAGTTCTACTGAAGAACATTACTGTTTAACCTGAAGGGAGGAGAATTGGGCAGTGTAAAATGCTCGACAGAGATCTCTGCCACAAATTTAGCTAGTTCATATGCAATAGTTTTTGTGTCTGTGCAGATGTCATCTTAATCATTTGTACAGTAGTATTAGTATCATTATATCAGTATCATCATCATCATTATCATTATTAACATTATTATCATTATTATTATTATCATGGCTGCTATCAAACTAATTGTTACTGTTTTACTATTATCATTATTACCATTCTTACTATCATTATTATTATCAATATTATTATCATTTTTATTGTTATTATTATTATTGTAACTAATATTATTATTATCATTGTTGTACTTGTCATTACTGTTATTACTATTATTATTTTAGTAGTAGTAGTAGTAGTAGTAGCACTGGTCTTAATATTACTATTAACTAGAAAAGCACTCAGAGGGTGCAGACCTCCGCCAAGGTGCGTATATAATGTACTTACACCGCTGCTGCGTCCAGACGGTAATTCGGAATGTCACCAAAATTTAATCAGTTCTAAGTTAGTCCCTTTCTGACTTGTCCCCAAAATTTCGATGAAATCCGGCCAGCACTTTTTGAGCTACGCTGCTAACAAACAAACAAACAAACAAACCAACGCCGTCGAAAACATAACCTCCTTGGCGGATGTAACAATAACAATAAAATGGGAGATAGTGAAATGTGGCACACGTTTACCGTAGATTTGTGTACCGAACTTGGATAGTAAATTTATTAATTGAATAAATAATGATAATAATAAATAACCAGTCGGTAATTCGGAATGTCACCAAAATTTAATCAGTTCTAAGTTAGTCCCTTTCTGACTTGTCCCCAAAATGTCGATGAAATCCGGCCAGCACTTTTTGAGCTACGCTGTTAACAAACCAACAAACCAATGCCGTCAAAAACATAACCTCCTTGGCGGAGGTAATAATATTACTATTATCATTATTATTATCATTGTTGTTTTTTTTTATTATCCTTATTTTTATTATTTCTTTATTATCATTATTCATATTATTATTATCTTTATTATTATCCTTATTTATATTATTATTATTATTATTATTACTATTATTATTATTACCATTACTATTATTATTGTTATCATTATTATCACTATTATTATTATTATCGTTATTAGTAATATCAATATTATTACTTTCAATATTATTAATAGAGTCATACTTTTATCATTATTAATATCATTAATATATTATTACCTCCGCCAAGGAGGTTATGTTTTTGAAGGCGTTGGTTTGTTGGTTCGTTGGTTTGTTGGTTTGTTAGCAGCGTAGCTCAAAAATTGCTGGCCGGATTTCATCGAAATTTTGGGGACAAGTCAGAAAGGGACTAACTTAGAACTGATTAAATTTGGTGACATTCCGAATTACCGTCTGAACGCATCAGCGGTGTAAGTACATTATATACACACCTTGGTGGAGGTCTGCACTCTCTGAGTGCTTGTAAGCGTAAGGCGTTGTGAGGTTCTTGATCCCACCGCTGCCATCAGATGTACGCGTAAGTGACCACGCAAGCCACTAGATGTAAGCGTTACAGAGATAGTCTTGGGCGGTCAATGAGAGGGGTCTTAACTTGCTGGTTTATTTCTGAAGATAGATATGAGACCCCTGAGAGACCCCCGTGTCCCCGGGTTGAGGACGAGGTAGTGGAGCTGGACCCTGTGTGGCTTGGCCTGTCTGCCGTGTCTCCCTCTGTCCCCCTGTGTCTTAGGCACGTGCCCTTTTATGCGGCGGTTTCCTTGGAGGGCAGATGTTTATTCCTGTGTGAAAAGAGAAAGGAGGGCAGCACCTGCATCCTGCGCAAGGAGAAAGGCATTTGCTTGGACCGAGGTGTGAATCTGCCATCCGGTCTTGCTACGTATTGTTCACATCGCTCGGCCACGCGAAAGGCTCGTCCTCGAGCCGTCTGCAACGCTGGAACACTGCAGTAGCACAAAGGGATACAGGTTCTGTTCGGTGTCTACAGATGGTTCCTGGTGATCCGATGGTCGCTTGGGTCGTCGCGCGTCAAGGTAGCGGGTGCGGCGGAGGTTTCGCACTGAGGTGCAACATTCAGTAGCGAGGAGGGTCAATCATCTTCAGAAGCTGAAATATAAGTGTACCAGGCCAGTAAAAGGGCTAAGGGGGATGGTAATAATGTGTTTGTCAATCACCTTACTAAGTTGCAAGAAAAAAATGAGGGCATAATAAGAATAATTTGTTACGAGAAGGGTAATGTGTCAAGTAAGTGGGTGTTAATTACATGGATTTGTTAGGATTAGCGAGTTCTGTAGAGTACCATCATACCGAAGAGAGAAAAAGTAATTGGACAAGAATTCCATATCTTTGGGCTAAATAGGCAAGTATATATGCTTCGAACATATAGGCAGCTGGGCCTGAACTTAATTCTAACAGTGCGCGTCTCGGCGCTTCAATCGTATGAGCGTAAGTGTGCGGCGGGAGCAGGATTCCTTCGTTTACGGCCATGAGCCGGGCGTGCGCGTCTGGGGCGCTTCAATCGTATGAGAGTAAAAAACATCGCGGTGCGGCGGGCGCAGGATTCTTTCGTTACGGCCATGAGCCGGGTTTAAAATTAACTTGCGGTGATAATAATTATGTAAGCCTATATGAAGTATGGTGTCCTGTAATGCATTATCATCGTTATGATCATTTGCAATAGACTACCTACCATCAGTCAGATACAAGTTACATATTCACCAATTCCTTAAACTAAAGAAGCATAAATTCTAGCATAGATGAGGATAAGATATCGAACTTCGAGAGGGCGTCATGAAAGCGGTTTGGGTTCAGTTAAAAGTCTTAGGGATGGCACTTAGTAAAATTCATAATCCTAGAGTGAATTCCGTGTAGGGTGGGCAGGTAGGTGGGTTTGGACCTAAGGCAGGTAATTGACATGTATCTTAAACCTATGTGTGAAAAAGCGAACGATTAGCGTGGGGAGTATAAGTAAATACAGGTGTTGTGAAAGACAGAACGATATACGCACATTCATAGAGGAAGTAGTAACGAGTTACTTACTAATAGGGTACAGTATGCAGGTGAAAACAATAACATCACAACGAAAATCGTAGCAGTAAATATGAATAACATAACGGGGGAAATCGAACATATCTACACATACTTATCTGTTCTAAGAGAAAATAGAATATAATGAACTGCAATGTG